AGTCCAACTAGCGGTTCAGTGCCCAGCGCTGAAAACAGTGCAAGTCCACCTTTGGCCAAACCCTGTGCCCACAAATCAGATTTGACTGTAGAGCAGTGTGGCTTCAGTGTTAGAAATCAAAGTCTTACTTTTGTTGATGATGGAAACAGACAGCTGAAAGAAGGAGTCAGGAAACATATTGAACAATCGAGTTTATCCGCAACTGGCAGAGATGCTGGTAAGGTTGCGGTGACCAGTACTGAAACTCATTGTATTCCAAGTCCATTTGTCACTGGGAGAACAAGGTCCAGATTGAGTCGTCATTCGGAGAAAATGAGCCAAAAATTGGCTTCCTTTCAAGCCAGCTCTTGCCTCTTTGAACAGACGCTACCCACCGCTATCCGATTGCGCCGCAACACGGTTAAGTCGCCTTATGGTTGGTCAAAGCACAGTTTTAATAAAGACAAAATGGAGGATGTTGACTCCCAGTTGAGCTCTCTCAAATTATCTGTAAGCTCAGATGGTCAAAGCCAAGCGGACACACTAATCTTATCGGACAGCATGGCTGACACGGTGTTAATTTCTGAAAGGATTGTTGAATCACAGTTGGAAACGAGTGTCAGTGAAGCTGGTAATAAGGTAACCACTCCTGAATGCTTGACTGGTATGCAAGAAGTGAAGAAAACTGCAAAAGGAATGCCACAGATAATCCCTACTGCTGTAGGAGACAAAGAGTCCAGTGTTACGTGTGGACTTGCCTCTCAAGGGTCTTTGCCGTTTCAGGTAGATAACTCAGAATCTGCCTCCAGTTTGATGTATGAATCTCCAAAAGCACAGAAGAATCCAGGTGCTAATCCAGGGTGCTCTGGATGTACTCCTCGGTATAGCATGAGCCGATTGTCAGGCCGCTCGCGGCAGGCACTGGCAAACCTTTCTTGCACACCTGCTGGACAGCCCTTAACTACTGATACGGATGTACCTGTGGAATACCTTTACACTGACACTGAAGAGGGCCATAAGCTCATTGAGACCCATGTTCCCCCAACGGCCAATACCTCCTTCA